TCTTTGGGCCACTGGAGTTAGTGGCTAGCTTAGTGTTGTCACTGTTCATGACGATGTCCGCACTATNTCCTAATTGGGCCATTTCCTAATTGGGAAAGGCGTTACACTTTTTTCTGCCATATCTAATGTCAGGCACACTGCGCATTTAGGTCAGGAACTATTTCCCACACTCTTTGGGCCACTGGAGTTAGTGGCTAACTTGGTGTTGTCACTGTTCAGGACAATGTCCGCACTATTTCCTAATTGGGCCATTTCCTAATTGGGAAAGGCGTTACACTTTTTTCTGCCACACATAATCTCAGGCACAGTGCACATTTAGGTTGGGAACTGTTTCCCACACTCTTTGGGCCACTGGAGTTAGTGGCTAGCTTAGTGTTGTCATTGTTTATGACGATGTTCGCATATTTCCTAATTGGGAAAGTCATTACATAATATCAGTTTGGTTTGTACTGTCCGCTTTTTCACTACAAAAGTTTGTAGTGTCCGCTTTTTGGACAACAAATATTTGTAGTGTCCGCTTTTTAGACTACAAAAGTTTGTAGTGTCCGCTTTTTTCATTACAATGTTTGTAGTGTGTGCTTTTTAGACTACAAAAGTTTGTAGTGTCCGCTTTTTTCATTACAATGTTTGTAGTGTGCGCTTTTTTCACTACAAATGTTTGTAGTGTCCGCTTTTTTCACTACAATGTTTGTAGTGTGCGCTTTTTAGACTACAATGTTTGTAGTGTCCGCTTTTTTCATTACAATGTTTGTAGTGTCCGCTTTTTAGACTAGAAATGTTTGTAGTGTCCGCTTTTTTCATTACAATGTTTGTAGTGTGCGCTTTTTTCATTACAATGTTTGTAGTGTCCGCTTTTTAGACTAGAAATGTTTGTAGTGTGCGCTTTTTTCACTACAATGTTTGTAGTGTCCGCTTTTTGGACTACAAATGTTTGTAGTCTGTGCCCTTTTCATTACAATGGTTTGTAGTGTCCGCTTTTTTCATTACAATGTTTGTAGTGTCCGCTTTTTAGACTAGAAATGTTTGTAGTGTCCGCTTCTTTCACTACAATGTTTGTAGTGTCCGCTTTTTTCATTACAATGTTTGGAGTGTGCGCTTTTTAGACTACAAATGTTTGTAGTGTCCGCTTTTTTCATTACAATGTTTGTAGTGTCCGCTTTTTGGACTACAAATGTTTGTAGTCTTTGCCCTTTTCATTACAATGTGTGTAGTGTGCGCTTTTTATATTACAATGTTTGTAGTGTCCGCTTTTTAGACTACAAATGTTTGTAGTGCCGC